GATAGTTCCATGGTTGCCTCCGCCCGAATAACCCATCTTTACTTCTGGGAAATATCCCACGTCCCACAGATTGGCTATTTGGATGGCGAGTTTGACAATTATCGCCGTGATTTCTGGTATTCAATGATGCGATCTCCCACGATGGTTTTAGGCACTCGGAATGTAGACCAACAGTTTCAAAATTTGACGTTAGCAGAATGAACGATGATGGGCGCTCAAAAGGAGTTTTCCGACGACATTGTATGATCGTGAGATTGAATCGCGGCAGATTGAAGTTTTGAGTGTATTGTAGAGCGCAGGAGAAAGAGAAATGCAACTGGTGGCAGGCAACGGGCATCGGAATAATTAGATTGGTTGGCCAAAACAAAACTCATCAACTCTCACTGGTAATCCCCATCAGGCCTAACCCTGGATTATCCAGACTGATTGATATCGATCATCCGATGTGGAGGAACAGCCTGAGAATGAGCATATCAGTGGGCGTGGCTAGACTTCACGCTGTTCTCGGTAGGCATGAAGTAGAGTGGGAAGAACGATTTCCTGAAGATTGCACCTGGGATGTGGCCCTAAACACGTTCGCATTCAACCTTCACGTCGTTTCTCTCAGACTCGGATACTCTAATCTTGTCGTGGGTAAAGAATATGCTGATGGTTCCCAGATTCATGTCCACTCCCGTTTCATCGTGATTGGTCTTAGCTGTATAACAATTCTCATCTTGACTCAGCAGAGAATAAAGATGATGACTACCATACACACGGCATTGTTTGCTTCATCCGCAATTGAAATGGTTGGATCCCACTATATGATAGCCGAAGAGACTTTGTCTCGTAGATACAATCGTCCTTATCATTACCATATCTACGAATCATATTTCCATTCTATCTCTGAACCACTAAATTTCCTTTAGCGTCCCAGACTGACTTCTCTAGAAATACTACAACCATTAACAAGACGGGATAAACACTCTGCACCTTACTCGTCAGTGCATTGAAGAAACCTAGGCAAGCTAGTAACCCACCACAACACCGAAACTAAGAGTCGCTAATACGGAGAGGGCACAGTTCCACCCAAGAGAGTCTTTGTGTGCCTCCACTAGGACAGTGGTAGATATTCCGAAAAGCACCTGGGCATCGATTGTGTTTGTACATTAACGCCCGCTCAACCCTTCGACATCCAGACGCACCAGCATCAGTGTATACACAGCACCACTTTCCACGATGATCACCAGGATTCTCTCGGGCTGGGAACGATGACTACCAGAGTTAAGATACTGACGGACAGCCTTTTGATGCAACCTATTTATAGCAGAGCGAATTGAGATAGTTGAAGAGACCTGCACAGGCCAACCAATTGGGACTCACCAGGTGAAATACCATAACGGCACCAACGTTACGATATTGGTACATACAGTGAGCACCCAAGTCGCCACTACGACTGGCACACACTGCTCCGAGTCCATCCGGTTAGAACTTCCACCGCCGAGATAGCAACCGACTAGTGCTACATCGGACACTATAGACGAAGTTATAGGTAATTAATACAGAAAGCAAATCTGCGATGCGCACCTGCGGTACATATCAATAAAACCAGGGGAAGAATCATCATGTTCTTGTTTTTACAAAGCACCGAAGCTCGCCAGAGCATGACCGCATCTCCGATCAAAGACTTTTCGTGTACAACTCGGTATTAATCTAGGATGCGTGATATAAATATCGCTACTTACGTTTATCCAATAGATGAGAGTCAGTAGGGGCAGGAGTATGCCCGGCGAAAATGAAGGTTGTTCCGGGTCAAGCTCTCCAGCTACAATCTTTGCATGGACTATGATAAACATAGTCCCGACAAAAAGTGGAGCAATTGATAATATCCACATGATAATCATTGCTGAGACTAACACGTATCGTACGGTTGAGAAGTTGGATGGCAATTGCTTCCGCCTATGAATGGAGTTAACGACTGTGCGAGACATAAAGATACACTTTACTGGATAGTCACATAGACATATAGGAGGATAAATTGTGCGCCTTTGAGATTATGGAAGTGATGAACATGCCATGGTTTAAAAAACGTCCGCAAACCCACCACAACAAGGTCCTGATAGTGCGACCGCTGCGCTCGACATGAGAATCTGTTGGCTGATGTGCTGCAGCCCTTGGTCAGACAAGGGCATGATGGCAATTTGGAATTGATCTTTGTGCATGACTCACTTTTATGAGAGCGCCTGCGGATGCAGTACAATCAAACCTTTCATTGAGATCAGACCGTAGACACAGCAGTGGCATCAGAGATGATGAGCCTCACGACGACGGCAGAGAGCGGGTATCTCATAACGATTATCAGCGAGAGAACGTCGCCAAGGGAAGGGTAAGATTGGACACTCACCGGATTCCATTGGGATTCCATCTTGTTTTGAGGGCGACCCATTATGTGTTAGGTAAAAGGGGGAAGTCGTCTGGAAGAGAAACAGCCGGGTCTTCGCAAGGAAATGACGGGAGAGCGATTACCATGCGTCCTTGCTCTCGTGGGGAACCATTCTTACCCACAATCTCAATCTTCCACATTTCATTTCCGTGGATCGAGCGAATATAAGATTTGGAGCAGTGTGGCCGTCTTGAACACGTACTGCCAGTGAGTGCTGAGCAGAAATCTGCTCAGGAACAAATGAATCCGAGTCGCAGTCATCTCATGCAAACAGTGAGCACCCCAAAGCTGCACTTCATCCTAGAGTCCCATCTAGTCATTGCCTCGCAATAGTACGAAAATCCACGGTGGATCCCGATGAGATTCACGTTCCGTTTCCTGTTGCCGCACTTCCTTGGCCCAGTTCGCTACACCACTGCCGCATTGTGGGATGACCTACTGAGGCAGCAAGTTCAAGTCTTGCCGGGCGCATTAGGTAGCCGCGACAGGAGTACAATTTTTACTTGCACGATTTCTTTTCTTCGTAGCTTCAATACTCGGAGAAACATGAGGTGCGAGGTTGACAAAATGGCATGAGTGACTTCGAATGGATGCGGGAATCGAGCCGGTGAGGTGAAATGTCCATGTCCTCGGCAATTATCTCTCAAAGTACTGTAACTTCAAGTTCCAACGGAAACAGTGATTATGCAACACGTTTATCTGTCCTGCTCAAGGCTTTATGAGACAAGAAGAATCTGAATTCAATTCACAACCGAGCTAGGCCGAAAAGAGTGAATTGTTTCCCAACGCTGTGACAGTTCGAAAATGGCTTCAGGTGAGTTTCATTGCAATCTACTAGCAGAATGAACGAGTATTGAGGGATGGTGAGTGAGGTAGTAACACCGTTACGAATTATGAAGTAAACCTATAGATGCCATGACCAACCTTGTATTATCCCCGTCATGACACCTATCGATACAGCAAGTGTAAGGGGGCTTGTACGCCGACGAGAGGCTCGATACGCGAGCGGGCAGTAACGCGAGCACGACAACTCTGTAGATTGTGATGGGAGTAAAGCACAGACAACGAATGATGTATCAGTATCTTTTCATCAGTAACAAGAGAAAACAGTATGCACTTGCAGACAGAATCTGTGTTCATGCGCGTGAATTCGGCGGCAGCGAATTGCAATGGCGACCTATCGACAATTTTGACCGAAAACTGTTGGTACCAGTCCGTTCGGTCTCGTCCTTCCCCCTTTCCGCCATCTCTTTCTCTCATCAAAATTTACCCCGATAGTAGTAGCAGTTTGTCCTACGTAAGACGAGACCAAACGGGAATGGGCACGAGTCTATAAGACACCATAATTCGGCCGTCTTATGGCCATCATAACGGCTTGTAACCGTCCGTGAGCACCCACCGTTATAAGCCGTAGTTGATTTTTCCGACATTGTGTCCTTTGAAATAGGTTTAAGTACTCATGGGGGGAAAAGCCATAGAACGGTACATTTACGACTTGAGAACAAGACCACGAATCCAAAATGCAAGTGGTGAAGTAACACGGGCTATCGGCGTGAGTCACGAATTCAATCTAGAGGTAACTACTTGATCAAATTGTGGGCTGATGTAGTGGTTCTACTGGACAGTGGAAATCAGATTGTGATGCCGACACCCGAGCTCATCGACATTGATGATGAACATAAGTGTTGAACTGGAGATGATCATGACTGCTGATTTGACGGTAGCACGCCGAATAAGCACCCTGAGATACCCACTTAAAAGAACCAATGGATACCCTCAGTTTCATGATGTACCAGTTGGTTTTCCGCATAATGAGCGAGAATAGGCTCTTCTGACTTGACAGAAGCTTGCACAAGGACAGGACAAGATTGGACCCCCCTTCCCGTGCGTATCCAGGCATATTCCTCTACGCCAATATGAGCTGTTTCGTACGTACGATGTATGTGGCCATTGGTTGAAACGGATGGTCCGAAAGATGCAGGCTGTGGAGCAGCAGGGGTGCAAATTATACATTCAATATATAGATCTACACTGTATGATGATGACGTGGTATTCAAGTTGATTCTTCTATTTTCCACCTTCCAAAAGGGGGAGGAAGCCTCTCATATGTCAATGGAACTGGACTACCATCAGCACAGTATGCCGAACTTGCACTTCGGATCGAAAAGTCTTTGCTTCTTGGAAGCAGGTACATTATGTGACGGATCCTGAACTAGGAACTTGGAGATAATAGAACCTACGATGATGCTTGTAAGTATAACGCGTCTGGTATGTAGGAGGTTTCATCAGTGTAGGCCATGCACGGAGTAAGGTAGTTTCCTTACTTTATACAAAGCATACTAAGACCAAAAGCGACATGATTACAGGAGCACCGACCTGTAATTGAACTGTTCACCGGTTTATGACAGTATTCTCCATTGATGCGGATAGTATGTGTTGCATCGATTTGGTACCTCTACTCGTAAGGAACCTCGAACATCCCATCGTTGACGTGGTTGTCGATCAGCACGATGTATAATTGCGAAGAAGGGTATTACGACGTCACCCAGAGTAAAACAGGGCGAACATGGCGATTTAGTACACCGTTCGGGAATCGAACCCGAGCCGCTTGCTAATAATCGCAAGACACCGCCATGGAAGGCAAGCATGATAACCACTTCACCAACGGTGTACGTCGGTGTCGATGCCTGCATCAGTGATGATAGTCGATGTCAAACCTAGAGATGAAGAAACACTGCCTGAACGCCGAGGTAGTAGATCACATTTGCCATTCTTAGTCTACAAAGGTGAATATCATATTGTATATATTGTGAAAAATCTGTCGTAAACAGTCAGACAAAGCACTCATAGAAGAAAATCTCTTGTATAGTTCTTCTCCCCCTCACACCTTCTCCCCTCGCCTCGAAATCCAGCTGTTATGGGCGTAGGGTATGCGCTGCGCTCGCTGGGGAAATTGGGGGTATAGACAACGGGAAAAGTGCCCAGGCGGGTGTTTGAACGAGACGTAGAAAGAGCTGTTGGGATTCCTCGAATTTGAGCGCGGGATGGAGGCGTAAAGGGGCGTGAGGATACCCAACGACAACACGCGTGTTATGTGCATCCCTTCTTCTCTTCGAGAAATGAGTGAGGTGAAAGGGGTGTTCGTGTTCGCATCTTCAGGGTGCTAGCGTAAGGGAAGGAGAGAGATGGCGAACCGGCAGTATTCCTCTCAAGGGGAAGGACAGTGCTTCACGAAACGACGTAGGGATCGTCTGGGTGGTAGATTCGAGAAAGTCGTGCGTTGACGGTGGAGACTTGACATAACAACGGGCTGGGATGAATACGCTTGTTGCCTTCCTCCTCCCCCGGTGCGTTATCCCAAGTATAAGATGAGAGGGTGGGGCGAAAAGGGTGATGTTGGGTGTCTTCCAGATGAAGGGATGTGGTGAAGGATAGGGTGCGTAGCGTGGATGATGATTTGGTTCCATTCCTCAACACAACCCTCTGCCCAAACCCAAACCAACCCGAATAGGATTCTTCCCAAACGACCGCTGTAACCTGACCACCGGACGACGACGAGATACACGCTTGAAAGTGCAAGAACGACCAGCCAAGTGACGTAGGCAGTGTTGGGCGTTGTTGCAAAGGTGTGGGCTTCTATAGACGGAGGAGTTGGGAGAAGCGAGGAGTGATGTGAGAAACATCTCTGTGCGGATATGTTGCTCCTCCCATGCTTTTCGAACGTTGAGGCGGCTGGAATGTTACGCGTCGTTTGGTCGGATGCAAGGGAAAGGATTATACCTAATTCAACCAATCAGGTACCCAGCCATATGAGGGACAAAAGAGACGTACCTGCATCCAAGAGCATTGACTGAGCCATCGTGGTTGAAGAAGCTGGAGTTCGTCAAGATAAGCAACAGGTGATAAACAAGACGAGGGAGACGTACCTCCAATTCCCGTCGAACCATTCATTGTAGCATTTCCCGATTTCCCGAAATGTCTTCCAATGAAACACTCGTTGATCGAGAAAACGATGAACCTTTGAATCACCGAACGTTGGGAGTCGTGGTTGTAGTCGAAGAAAGAAAAACGAAACGACAGGGCGTAGGGTTACATGACGTCACCCCAGGCACACTCTAACACGGCTTCCTTGGCTCAGTTCGTTCACCACCCCATATTGCTAAGCTATCGCTAGGTCACAAGTTCGAAGCTTGCAGGGAGCATATGCAGTGAATAGTGGTTTTGCTTGCCCCAAAAGTACACCTACGACATCCGAGCCTTAGCCAGGGGGCTTTAGTGATCTTGTTGTAATCACTGCCGCGGAACCGTAAAATGGACAGTTATTGACAACCGTCGTTATGAACAGCTCCCGCAACGTGTCGCCATACTCCAAAGGTATATAACGTACGTCCAATTGTCGAACCATTGGGAGAAGAGGCGATGTTGTACTAAGTTCTGAAAAGTCTTCCAATGAAGCAGCCGTTGATAAAGAAGAAGAAAGAGACTAACGTTTGCATCAGCAAACATTGGTGGTCGTAGTTGAAGAAAGAAAAGCAAAAATTCAAACAACAGGGCAGAGGGTGCATGTGTCGGACCACGCCCTAATCCCGGCGCTTCCTTGGCTCAGTTCGCTCACCGCGACGTACTATTATGCAATCGCGAGTGCCGCAAGTTCAAAGCTTGCAGGGAGCATATGAATAGTAAGGTGTGTTTTTTTCTCCATGTCCAAAAGTACATCTACGGCATCCGGGTTACTCGGATTTGCAAGAGGTTCACGTTCCAATACCTTTTGATGCGCTTTCTTGGCTCAGTTCGCTACACCACTGCCGCATTGTGGGATGACCTACTGAGGTAGCAAGTTCAAGTCTTGCCGGGCGCAATAGGTAGTCGCGACAGGAGTACAATTTTTACTTGCACTGGCACAATTTCTTTTCTTCGTGGCTTCAATACTCGGAGAAACATGCGATGAGAGGTTGACAAAATGACACGAGTGACTTCGAATGGATGCGGGAATCGAGCCGGTGAGGTGAAATGTCCATGTCCTCGGCAATTATCTCTCAAAGTACTGTAACTTCAAGTGCCAACGGAAACAGTGATTATGCAACACGTTTATCTGTCCTGCTCCGCCGGACCTAGAAGACTTTATGAGACACCTACGACTCGGAGAAACAAGAAGAATCTGTATCCCAATTCACCACCGAGCTAGGCCGAGAACAGTGGATTGTTGCTCGACGCTGGAACATACTCTTCGCGCAGGTGAGCTTCCTTGCAATCTACCAGTAGAAGGAACGAGTATTGAGCGATGGTGAGCCAGATATGACTCCGTTGGGGATTATGAAGTAAACCTATAGATGTCATGACCAACCTCGTGTTATTGGTATTTACTGCTCCTTTCCATGGTTAAAAAAGTACCTGTCACTGGCCGTTTAATTCCTATTCTACTTGAATGATGCTGCGCGCGTGAGGTTCCCCCGAGATATGATAATGAAGTCGTGGAACACAGAGACGTAGAGGGTGTGTCATTGGGTGGTTTAGGGTTAGGCTTGCCGCGCTGTGATGTCACGAAATGGGAAAAAGAGCTTCGAGGTGATCAGCTTTATCAGATCTTTCGCGTGTCAAATTCAGTTTCGATATCAAAACGGAAAGACGATGTACCCTTCTCGTTCAATACTGGGAGAGCCAGAAACCGGACTGTTTTTGGACGCAATAACTGTGCTAATATACATAAGTAGCTCTCCGAGGCATCATACTCCCGACTGCGGTAACGAACAAGTCCAACATCGACACGAAGACAATGCCCAGACAACAGCTAATACCATAAATGTTAGCCTCGCCCGACGGTTCTTCCTGTAAGGGCTTACACTCGCTGAATCTTGAGCACGCTGGGTCGTTACTGTGCGCTATGCCACTCTCCAAATACTTGGGAAATCTTCAGATCCTGATTTGTCACGCTTCCATGTTTTCCCACCTATGGAAAACAGTTAATCCCGGAATTTGTGGTTGAAGCATGAAAGGAACACACAAGATGCATGCCACGTCCTCAAAGAGGGACACACTTCCCCAAATCTCTTCACAATCTCGTACTCCTTCGCCTTTTCATCTGCTCCCCAAGGAAACCAAAGCCATTGTAAATGCTCGAGCCGAGAGAATTTGCCGAGATGTTGCATGATCAAGTCTATATCTGCCTTTGTGTGTATCAGTATTAATCAAGAACGATATATACATTGCATTGACAACAAACTTCGTTCGGAGGTTTAACGACACCAATAGGGTCGAAGAATAAGTGGGTTATATAAGGTATTTGACGGGCGAGCGCGCAGAATAGATCAATATGCTGTGCATCTCGAAAAATGGATAGCTCCAATTTCGCATTGTTATTTCCTTGGGTTGCGGATTGGATAGCATTTACCATTTCCACGTAGTCGCCGACAAACACAAGCTCTGACCAATATGCCTGGATGGATTGAAGACTAGGAGCAGGATTCGCGAGTAGATATGTGACGATATCGTTCGGAGCAGAGATATATTGTAATCTGGGTAAAGGAGGGGATTCATAATTATAATATGGGAAACCGTATCTGTTGGATTGCGGATGAAACTTGATAGATTCGAGTGATTGGTTATGTCGACGTAAGAAGTCCACTTGGCCGGGGTTGAGGTTTACAGTTCGAACAGAAGAAATTCGCGGAAGATCAATGGCTGCTAATGTAGAAGCGGGGATTATAGACGTGATCAAGGTGAGGTTTGAAATGTTTTTTAGATATGAGAATGAGTGTGTTGGCCTATGTCTAATCCCGAATCGATTACTGGATACATCAACTCCGACATGAACAATTGATAAAGTCTGAGCGATCAATCACGTACCAAATATCCAGACTTTTTACATATCCTGCGAGTTCGGGATTACGAATAATTGTCTTGAAGAGCAAAACAACTCGACTGATTGGCCCAGGAGCGACGCACTGATATAACAGTGGTACGCCTAACCTGTACAACGCCCGCGAGACCAAGCTCGTGCTCACAAGTTCCTTCTTGGAGCACGTTTCTAGAATCTTTGTCCAGATCTCTGGAGGGATATTCATCGTCGATACTTTCTGTTGACCGAAACCTGAGAAAGGTGGTCGTGGTGGTAAAAGGTAGAGTAGATCATCGATTATCGATCAACAGTGACAGGACAACCCTCACGTGGTAAGGACCAGCGCTTGTTATTTAGCGCCGGTTCAATGCAGTGGTGAGGCGGCACTGATTATGTCCTAGAAACCCAACCGATGAAGTAACCGTGGATAAAAAAAGATAGGAAAGACAAAACATCGGAAGGACGTGTGTAATAGCTCCCTAGACGAGACGTCTAGGTATGGTAGCTTGGAGCCTTAATTCACCCGAGACCTGGACACAACGAGGTTTTATAACGTAGGTACAAGTGCTGGGCAAAGTAAGACTAACGAAGGTAAGGAAATGAGCTTGTTTATGTAGTGGTGGTCCGGGTAAACGGGTAATAGGAATCCGGAGATGGTAAGTAACGCGTGAATGTTGGGATGTAGGCGTAGGCGTTACAACGTGGTCGTGGTCAAAGGCAAAAACACGAACCGATGAACTCACCTCAGACGGTAAACGTTTACTTGCAGGAGCAATGCCTCCTTGGCTCAGTTTGCTAGAGCGTAAGCTTCATACCATCGTGTATGACCTTGCCTG